CCATAAGGTAAACTGGCTCCAGTCTCCCTTTTCTCGTAGATTCTCATCTTCAGGCAGGAAGAGGCTTCTCTTTTTGTCCATCACAGCAAGTCCCTCATCCCGAATGAGCTTCCAGTTTTTTTCTAAGGACTGTTATGAGAGCCACGTTACTGCACTAAGAACTTACTGCATTTGGCTTTAGTACCATTTCTTTTTCCCCTGCCATTATTCACATTTTTTTTCTTTAAGTTTAAAAGCACTAAAAAACCATTCATCATCATTATCAAGTTTCTCTATATTCAATTCTCTTCTGACACGTTAAGGCAGGAAAAACAACTTCCACGGTGTTCCTCAGACTCAATTACGTTGGGATTGTAAAAATTCCAATAATCCCCAGCCTCTCTGCAGACTAGGCCTCACTTTGGCTTGCTTTTTGATCAGTCTAAGGGCTCTTTAACAGCTCATTTTGTATTGCAAGCTAAGAAGTGTATTTATCTTCTTAAACGCTGCACAGGTTACCTGGAAGCGCTCCTGCCACTAGAAAGCCACTCACATAACCTGGAACTCCAGGCGCTGGCAGAGCATTAGGTTCAAAGAGGACAAATGTAAACATGCCACTTAAGTTGAACATTATGATTTAAACCTTCAGAAAGGTTTGCAGAGATTCACTTGCACATGCTGATGCCATTGAAAAAGATCAAATACAACTTGAAACGCCAGGAGATTATTTATGGACATAACCACTAAAAACGTGTAAGCTGTCTTGTACCTCACACACACCAAAACCACGAAACAGTAGAATTAAAATTTCTGTTCTCTGCTGCCTTTGGACACTATATTTGCAAAAATCAGAGAGATTACAAACCTTTATACTAGAAAACTTTTATTCTAGCAATAATAATGTCATTTTAGTGTTATAGCAATATAAATGAAAAATCCACAGTGTAACAATGGACCTGGATAAAAGGAACTTCCATTTCCCAGCCGCTTACTTTGCTCACTAAACCTCATTTGGGGTGAATAGTTTTCATTTTTCCTTTGTGCTCTTGAACAAAGAGTTTTTTGTAACACATTTTCAATCCATTTCACACTGAAAATAGGCTAAGGTGTGTTCCCACACTACCTCTTTATATGATGTGTAAAGCTGAGTAAAACTCAAGAGTCCTTATAACACAGATCAGGCTAGGTGATATAACTGCCCCTTTTTAGCCTTAAAACTCCATGTGGTTATTAGCCTTTCCCACTCAAACAGTTGCATTTTCCACTTGAGTTTTTTCAATGAAAAGACTAGCTGATCCCACGGACTAGGTTGCCCGTCGCTATGCCACCAAAGGCTCAGTAAAGCAAGCGATGGCTAGAACAGGCTGTCTGTCGCACAGCTGCTGTCTCCCATGAGAATGTTTGTAGGTAGGCAAAGACCTAAACATGGGAACAGTGCTGGTACTGTCAGCACCACCACATCTACAAAAGCCAACACCAGCCCGAGTCCCTGAACTTGCACTAGAGAAGAGAAAGAAAAGAATAACTCACATTTACACCAGCCTCAATTTAATGTGACACAGGGCAACAAAACCAGGAAACTGTAAAAGGTATTACAAGCGCTTCTCTGATTCCTTGAACTCCTTGTGCTCCCTCGTCAGGTAAAAGGTAGTCGGGAGCACTCCCCCATGCAGGCGGGACAGTGCTTGAAGAGCACTGGTGCCCCAAGGAGCTGCAGGGAGCAGCTGCTTTGTCACCTCCAGTCCCGCATGAGCGCCACAGGCTGAGCGTGAACCTGCCAAGGAGGGTATTTGCTCTTGCCTTTTAAGGTTCCCCCCCCTGCATGTTGGATCCAAAGTGATTTGAATAGAGATCATCGATTTTGAACAAACTCCTCAGTGGTTTTAACTTGCTCTGAAATCAACAGTGACCCTGCACGCCTGAAAACCTGGAACCCATCTATAAAACACACTGGCAGCGGTTTGCTATGAGTAACAGGTAATTCGCAGGTAGAAATGGAGTGGGGAATTCAAACACAGCTCAGCCTTGATCTCCCTGATTCTACAGACTCCCAGGCATTGAACGGTATATATACAATTAAAACACAACCACTAAGGCCAGGAGCTGGACTTACAGCTCTTGACCCAAGGGCTGGCATCTACAGAGAAAAGTTAAATACGCTTATGCTCCATGCTACGTAGGAATTCAAGCCTTGAGTTAGAGTGACAAATTTGTATCATATTTAGTGCAACATCCTGATTCCAAGTGAAGAATGAGGTGGCGACCAGCATCGGGAGCATATGCGCTTGTTTCCTAGCAGCTGATTCCAATAAACCTCCATATGGCTTTTTAAATGTAGTTCCTAAAAATAAAGGAAGTTTACAGTTGCTGTACATCTGGCAATAGTGTAGATTTTACTGGCAAAGACATTACTATATTTAAATAGGGATTTTTTAATATCGGTTTATTTTTATGTGTAACTATTATCTTAAAAGAATCCTCACTCTGTGCTGCCAAACCCCTTCAGTGCATGGTCATAAATGAAACAGGCAGAGATTAAGAGGTTACTGCCCCTCTGTGAGGCATAACTACCGACCACATGTCCATTTTAATCCGTTGGACTATAAAACGAAATCATGGTGAAGACTTTATTTCACTTTGCTACTGAAGCAGAGCAGGACAGTGTTCATGGTCAGTTATTGTGTCTCGGCTGGGGAACGCTGACGACCTCCAAGTAAGGGGCAGTATTTTGAACCTTTCAAAAGAGATTCCTTGCATCCATTCAGTCACTCAGAGTGCTTGAACATCGGCATGTGTACACACCATCTCTGCTCTTTTCAATACAAAACTCCCCTTAAAGTGTCCAGCCACACTTTAAATGAGTATTTCAATTTAATTTCTCAATTAAATACAAATGTCTAGCTATTGTTAGCTAAAACATTAAGCCCTAGCTGTCACTCTACAGAAAACGCTACAGATATGTGCTCTGCTTTCATTCTCTTTCTGCGCTTTTCTTGCCACACTTTAAACTTTTAATTAATAAAATCTAAGCCATCAGAGAAAGCTGACAATACAAGATCTACTTTAATCCATCAGCTATTCACTGTAGTACTTTACTGGCAAAGCATCCTCTGGGTCCTTTCCAAAAGTCAACAGACACAACACGAGGAAAGGACAAAGTTACCTAAGTCATCACCTACACATTAGTTTCAGACTGGTGAAAAGTCTCTAGGATCCGTTAGCATTGTGCCTCTTACTTTTTAAACAAGCACCAGAATAGAAAAATAATGTTATACTGAAGTATAATAAAAGGTACCAGAAAAAAAGTTACCAGAAAAATCACAGAATCACAGAACAGTTTGGGCTGGAAGAGACCTTAAAGCTCACCCAGTGCCATGCCCCTGACATGGGCAGGGACACCTTCCACCAGACCAGGTTGCTCCCAGAGCGTGGCGTGGGCCCCTCGCGGGGAGGGGCCAGCCACAGCTGCTCTGGGCAGCCTGTGCCAGGGCCTCACCGCCCTCACAGGGAAGAATTTCTTCCTCAGATCTCATCTCAGTCTTCCCTCTTGCGGTTTGAAACCATCACCCCTCATCCCATCACCACACCCCTAAATGACGCAAGGACTCAGTGAGACCGCAAGGACTCAGTGAGACCGTCCATGGAAAGCCAGTTGCCCCAGGGGAGGAGGACAGGTTTTTCAGGATAAAAGTCAGGTTTGCTTTTAGCTGAGCTCAAACAAGAAGGAAAGAGTTCCCTGATCTCCAGATCCAAAGGCCTGAAATCCCGTAGATCAGAAACACTAACAGAACACTTCTACGTAAGCCACTTGACACACTCTCCCTAAATGAAGGCTGGTGTTTTCTGCTCCCTGGGAAATCAGGCGCCCCTTCTTATTTTTTCACAGAAACTACAACACACTTAAGCATTAAGGGGCAGCAGCCGAAGAGATACAAAGATCCAGTTCTCTTCGGCACAGCAGCACTAACCAGGATTTACCACCTTAACACGTCTTGTTAAGTGTTAGTGAGGTACTCTCAGTCTTTTTTATTTTTTAAAGAAACGAAAAACCCCCACCCTTCCTTAAGACACCCAGGCAAGTAGATAACAGTGAAGTAAATGAAGTATGAGCTTGTCTTTAATCTTACCCATCAGGCAGTTAAACATCAGGCCTCAATCAGTTATCTAGGCTTCTTTTTTTAGTAAAGCAGTAGGAAAGTTAACACCAGAAAGGGAGACATGCCATCCTTAGATAGTTATTTAAGATAGTAAAAATTAATCAACCTCTGCAAAGACCTCTTTTTTGACCTGTAAACTCAACCACTAGCATGGACAAGATGCCTTATGTCTGTGTGGCTACAGTTAGGTGAGCTGAACGCCCCGCAGAAGGAATTTACTGCACGGGGAATACCAGAAAAAACACTTTTTTTTTTCTTCAGGTTTTCTGTGGAAAAAGCAAGGTGCTGTCAAAACTCACATCTCCGTCTCCAGTCTCAAGAAACCACATGACCCTTTATAGCAAAATCAAGCCAGGTCTGTGCTATAAGACACTACTGCCAGTGTCTTCAATATGTTTTTGCCACTTTCTGGACAAATACTACTACAAATTTTGTTTGCAGCATTGTTTTCTTTAAAAGAAAGATTGATTTCTTTCTCTTTTTTTTTTTTTTTTAATAAAATCACCCTTTCATAGTAGGTTTTTTAACACGTTATGTCACTAAGTATAAAGAAACAACCACTCTGAAGGAACTTCCCTCTTGCAAATAAACATTTATAGTTTACAATTCTTTGTGCAGAATAATTTTGCTAAGCCACATACCAATAATTAAAACACACAGGGGAAAAAGGTTCCCCCCCCCCTTTTTTTTTAGGAATTATTATTAAAATTATTAAAATTAAAATAAAATAACAATTATGCAATTTTATAAACACAAACTATTATTACAAATAATAGCCTTGTATTAAATAAAAAAAAAGAACTTTAAAGAACTTAAATTCTATGTTGTTATCTTTTGTTAAATCCGTCACTGTGAATCCACACTTGTTTCTCTCACGCAATTAAAAGCTTCCAAAGAAGTCAACAAATATTACACAAGGGATGAAGGACACAGCCTTTCCTGACTAATTAAAAATTCACAATGGGTGTCCCAGACATGACCAAAGTTTGCTGTCATTTGGCACTTGAGACATTACTGTTGCCTACCATGCAAACGTTGTACTTATTCATCATTTCAGCCATGCTGTCCCCATTCTCAATGTTGAAAATGCCAGAGCTCATTTTACAGTATCTTAGTAAAATCTTGTGCTCACTCTGAAATCAGTGCTGGTACTCACAGGCAGTGATTCAGATCTTATTAGCATTTTCTCTGCTTACCTTAGATTAGACTTGTTATTAAAAAAAAAAAAAAACACATTGAAGTATAAAGGAACAAACTGCCTTACCTTCACCAGCTCCGTATAACCAGTTTCCCTCGCCGTCCACCAAGGCTGAGCTTTCAGTCCCTTGACATTGTAAAGGGAGCGCTGCCAGACTGATGCAAAGTGACCTCTCTGGTATCCAAGTTCATACCACTTGTACGCCTGAAAGATTGCAGTTGTTAACAACCAAAAAAGGAACACCCTTTTTGGTAAAAGGTAACAGACTGTTTCTTTGGATGCCAGGGTTGTTCTTGTAATGTAATGTGGCAACGAACACTTCAAGGAAAAAAAACCCGAACAACCCCAAACAACCCAACTAACAATCCCAAAACAGATCAATCAGACAAGGCTGTCCAATCCAACATCAGCAAAACAGGACAATCTTCTCACAACCATTCACACCAAATCCAGGCGCTGTCCTTGGACTTGGGAGATCCAATTGTTTCTCATCTTGGTCAACCTTGTTTTCTCTGTTTCAGTTCTCTCCCTCTGAATTAAAGGTGACTGCTTCTTCTGCCAGCAGAGATGCTGGGATGATGAAAACACTGCTGACTTTGTGGGTCTAAATTGTTACTTAATTATCTAACGCCTACATGCACTTGAGTTTCTTCAAATATCTGTTGCCACAGCACAATTGATCACGTGGTAGAAACCTACTGAGGCTAATACCAGACCTTTGCTTGTCTTATCCCCCTTCCCACAACCTGCTTTACCCCTGTAGAGCAGCAAAACAAGGTCCTGCAAAGAAAGAAAACGGGATGCTTGGAACGAAAAGATCCAGTATAAGTAGCACTGTGATGAACTATACACAGAGAAGGCTACGTACAGCTGCCTCCTTCCTGGCCAGCATCGCTGCTGCAGCTGCAGTATCTTAGACAACACAAAAAAGGATATGAAAGGACAACGCAGTAGGGAGAGATGAGGGTAAGAAGTCCAGAGCAGAGGGGTTGAGGCAGGCAGCAATCCCTGCCTTGAACAGAAAACATCCAAAATCCTCTTTCCTTGGACTCATGCAGAGTCCCCCTCTAGCTACAACCTTTGAAATCCACTCCCACCCAAGCCTGCAGCCCATCCAATTCACCCCCACCTCAGCATCACTCATCCAAACTTGGACCATGTTCTCATACTCCTTTACCCAACCCAGTATTTATTCTTGTCCCACTCCACATAAAAAAGCCTATAATTTCACCCTCCTGCTTCCAGTTAATAACGCTGCCCCCCACCCCACTCCACCGCTGTCCGCCTTCCCCAGCTGTACCCACTTCCTTGCCAAGTTCTCCTCAGAAAGCCCAAACCCTCCACTTTTCTTTCCAGCAGGAGTACAGAAAATCTGTCCAAGACAAAGATTGTCCCCAGTCACATTCTGGTACGGTAGTTTCCCTGCACGACTATTCTAATTGTCAGTTGTTTTTCAAAGAGAGTCACTTCTCCTGCTCTAACTCACGAGCCTATGACAGTTGTCCATTAATCTGCCCACACTTGACTCAAAGGCTAAAACAAAAGACTCACTGAGACAAAACCCACAGCACCAACTCTTAAGCTAAAGAAGAATCATTTCATGGATGGAGTCTGACGGAAAGTAAAACATACAATCAAACAAACACATCTCTAGGAGAAAAACTAACATCAGCTTATTATTTATGTTTGCCTTGAAGCTGGTAAGCCAGAGGGAAAATAAAACTTTTTTGGATACAAATCAGCCCTGAGAACAGTGTGTGACGTACTAAGACTTACAAAAAGCTACTGGAAACTCTTCGTGTAATGGATTATTTCTAAAAATTTCCAGGTGTCACCTCAGAGATCTTGTATTTCAGATATAAGGTAAGAAATCACTTTGGGTGGGTTTGTTTTCAAATTTTTACAGAAGTCTCTATATTGTAACCATAGATTATTTTTTGAGAGTCTGTAAGTTTTCTTCAAGCTTTTAAAAAATGTGATACTCTGATCGTTATAACTCTCTCAGTGTGGCAGAGAGGCTGCAATGGAATGTTGCCTTAAAGTATTTATCTCAAGTACAGAAAAGCAGTGGAAATCAATAGAGTAACAGCAGACCATCTATAAGCTTTCAACTGTTTTCCATAGAGAAGCTTTGTAAAACTCTGTATGGGGCAAAAAAAATATAAAAATTATGTATAACCTTTGGGTAATACACAGCATATCTTTAAATTTTGGTATTATCTTGGTTAAGTCTCTGAAGTGGAAGCATGATGATTTATAACGTATGTTCCCCAAGATGCAAGTTGTACCAGCAGTGGGGTATCAGCGGGTCGCCCATGCTGCCTGCCTGCATTCGTGTGCCATGTCTGGAGCTCGCCCGGTGCCATGGGGGATGGATGACTGGTTTCAGCCACTGACTGACGGGTGTGAACGTCGCTGCTTTTTAGGATCCAGCAGCTACAATCATGACGTGTAACACTGCTAGTCCTCACTTGCTGGAAGAACTGTGCTATGGGGTTGCCTTTGGCAGCATGGAGTGGGGTAGGTTCTCTCGCTCATCCTGCCCCGTCCTGAGTTTCCATCAGAAACCTTTCCTTCCGTGCGCAGACCTGGGCAGCGGAAAGAGCAGCTCATGACCACCGCGCTGCTCGGGACAGCCACCGTGTACAGCAGCTGCTCCAGGACAGCAGCCGCTGGAGCTGGGCTCAGCTGACACCCTCCGTGTGAACAGCACTTTGCTCTGTAATACCTTCCACAGCTCTCATTCACCTTTTTTAAAGTCAATTTGGCATTTTATCAAATTACAGTTGGAAAGGGCATACTCAACACTGTTTCCCTAACACTTACCAACACCACACCCATAATTCCTAATTTAGCTCTAACAGATGAGTATCTACCTTCAGCAAACCTTCAGTGACAGCTGTTTCACATGTGCCTTAAATATTGATCTGTTTCCTTGATTAAATCTTGACATTCAGCAAGTCCAGCAAAGTCAGTGAGAAAGATTTAGCTTAAGAGTGGACTTTCCGCTGAGAAATTTAAAAGTCTCCTCTACGCCAAGAAGTTCATTTGCCATTGATTAAAACTTCTTCTACAGCAGGTTTGACCATTAACTCCACAAACATTAACACGTAATTATCCTGGGCACTGGGATGACATACATTAAATACATCTGTCTGGTATCTTTAGTCAAATATCGCAGTGGGATGCTCTAGGCTCAATCACTCAACCCAGAATACCCCATGGAAGGATACAGGGGTTTCCTTTTTGGTTTTCTGGGGAGAAGGACAGACAGTCAGACAGAGAGGCTGTGTGCATGCAAGCAGAGGCTGCGTGCGTGTGTATGTGCACACAAGTGTGTGTGTTGACGTATAGAATGAAGCCAACTAATGCTCACTTGTAAATTCAAAAAACTTCAGAGGAAGAATATTTTATTGTACTTTCAGAGAACACAATATAACCTGAAAAACATAGATGCTCCTACATTTCAACGTATGTATAAGGCATTGTAATAGAAATTCCACAATTTATAAAAAAAGAACATTAACCTGATGCACTAGGCTTAAGAAAGATCACTAACAGAGGCTTCATTACAGTCCACCTGTCCATAGCTCTCATGGGAGAACTGCCTGCCCACTGGGCCAAGGCACGCAAGAGGTCAGCACTCTTTACAGTGTTTGAGGTATCAACATTGCTGACCTATCACCAGATAACTGATTAAAGAGCAGTTCCGTTACGCTTTTTTATTCTTATTCTTTTCACATTTCCCATCCAGGAACCTGAGTAGGGTTTTTTGGTTTGTTTTTAAATTCACGCCCATAGTAAAGTTCATTACTGATAACAGTCTTGAACAGAAGACATTTGCTCCCCTACCATGGCAACAGTGCTCATTCACACATTTAAATTTGGCTTTTACATTAAATTTGGGTTTAAATTAACAAATTGGAAACTCTTCTGGATGTTCCAGTCGCACATGTTTACTTTGTTGGGCTTGCAACACATTTGGTGCACAAATCTCTGCTTTTCTGACCTGTTTGCTAGTTTAACTATTGAACAAATATCATATCTCAGCCCACACATTCAGTCTTCTCATCACCTTCTTTTATCCCACACTCACTGGTGCTCAAGGTCACTTTGGGAAAGAAAGGAAGTTCATAAAACAGTTATATCAGAGCTAGGAGAGAACTCCTACACAGTGACAAAAATTTAATTGTTTTTCTTAACTCTGGTTAAAGTTACTTTGTTGTAAGTGGTAGGAGCAGAGAACAGACTCTAAAAACACCTTCATTGAATTTTGGGAAAATGTTTGGTCCCTCAGTTCAAAGGGGCCTACGCAAGCTTCAAAAGCTTAGCTTATTCCTAAAGCAAGGGATGCTGAGAGATTGTATTCTCATGCCAATGGCAGATTTTTGGTATTGCTCATCTTGACCTCTACACACATGTGCTGGATGTTACTGCAATAGGGCTACTCATGTTTTCAGCGTTAAGCCTGTGCTTAAAGACTTTTCTGGATTCTGCAGTCCACCAGAGGTTTAGATTTTAAAGCAAGAACTGTTAAATGCATACCTCTTTGTCTCCCATTCTCTGCAAGGCATCGCCCAGATGGAAATAAAAGCGTCCATCATTTGTGCCAGGATCACCAGACTCTAGTCCTTCCTTTAAAAGGAAAAAAAGAAAGGATAAGAGAAACCTCAGCAGGCTTTCTAGAAGAGTTCATTTGATTGTGTCAATAGCTGCCCACTCTATGCAAGAGACAGGCCATGAAATTGGCTCTAAAATACAACCACCGCGGTAACCCGGCACTTAGGCTAACAAACACAACACTTCAGTGCAAAGCCACTGAGCAGCGTTACCGGTTTTCCAAATGCCATGGCCTCTCCCCTCAGCCCCTCCAAGGCAGAGGAGTATTCAGAGACGGACGCTTGCCCCTGACCCTATACACATACACACAAGCATTTTAGAAAGCTGGATTAAGGTTTTATTTTGCGGTATTTCTTCCCACTCAGAAGTATCCACAAGCCCTCTCTGGATTTTTCAAGAACCTTAAGTTTGCCAGACTCGAAACAACTTCAGACTCACAGCTGGGTACTTCAGGTTAACCACTAACAAAACAAATACTTGATGTTTAAGCAGTGATGAGTCTTAATGTACAAGCCAGTCCCAGTTCACAGGCAGTGACATAGCAACGTAACTCCAACAAGTAGCTTAAACTGTGATTTGCGATTAATACGCTTCTACCTTGACATGTTCTATAATTTGCAATTTTATCTTGTACAGGTAAAATATTCACTGTAGATGAGAAACAAAAAATACCTTTAGATAGGGTATGCTCTCTGCTATTTTGTTTTCTGCCTTCAGGATGAAGCCATAATGTACTTTGGCAAAGCCATCATTTGGAGCCAGGCTCAGAACCTGTTTGAGAAGAAATGAATTAAATCCTCATGTATGGATCTATGCAAATTAACAAACCTACACATATATCACTATTTAGCGATGCAATGACATTTTCTTCCATCGCTGACTCTGAGATAAACTCTTAGCTTGGCTGTACTTTCTTTTCGCCATTCACTTTTGTGAACTTCTCCGGAAAAATCTGTTACAAGCCAAACTCCAAAGTCTCAGAAGTAAAATTATTCCACTTGGAATCTCTGAATTGCATTATTTTTTTGTTGTCCATCTTTCTCCAGCCTCTCTCTTGAGTTACAGCATGCCATGTTGCAGAATTAACACCATGCATTGAGACTTCAGTTACATGTCCCAGGACCGACTAAGCTGAAGCAACGTAGCTGCTTTTGAACAAGTCTCCAGCACAGTCACAGGAAGCGTAGGGCAGAAATACACCTGAACTGGGTTAGACAGGCTTATACTGGTGGCATACTAGTCTCGGCAAGAGAATACACTACGCTGCGAAGCACGGTGAGTGCGATTGAGAGAGATGCTGTACAGCAATGCCTGTGTCGTGTAAGGGGGCTGCATAGACCCTGGGAACGTGAAGGACGTTTTCGGCACCGTGGTGAGCTGGGGCATGCTCCGGAAGGGCTTACACTTGCTTGGCCAGGCTTACACTTGCTTGGCTACCAGGCGGTAAGGCAGGGGCTAACACAGTAGTCATTCAATGTGCTCTCACACTAGAACGTGATGGACAAATTATTCTTGTACTGTTGGGTGCTGCGCTCTTTAACCAAGACCAAGACCTAGCGTGCTGAATTAGGCTAAAAGACTTTGTATCCTGCATGAGATTCAGATAATGTCCAAGTTATAACCCGACTTGATCTTGCAGGAAAGGAAAACCCACAGGCAAATATCCAGAGATGGCTATTTCACGGGGACTGTGGAAGACAAAGGGTTGTGAGCGCAGGGACAGCTGTAGGGAAGGTCAGTGTACAGGTGGATGTTTCAGGGAAAGGAAGAGTGACGCTGGCTGGCTGGAGTTCTGAAACATACACCTCCAGCATTGCTGATATAATTTAAGTGCGTTTGGTCTGCCTCAGCCAGGGGGAAAAATCAGAGAATGTCGGTTTAATTTCCAGCTCCACGTTTCTAGGATGTATACATTCAATACCATTTGTAGCTCTATGCGATATCAGTCACATGGTCAAGTTAATCTGTTGTTACACTTCTCTCCTTAAAATAAGGGTGGACAGTCTTATCAGGACAGACCCACAGACCAAGAGGATCATCACAAGAGCCTGTCAGTCAGTGGAATTACAGAGGCTGATACCTGCTGAAAAAAATAGCACAGCTGCTAAATACAGAACGGACAGATGAGCAATTTCTCTTCCCTAAATCCATTCTCGAAGCTAAACTTATGCCATGGATAACACGTCTGCGTACATTACAGCCATTCCCCTCTGCCTTTTCCAGTCAGTGTCTAACCCAATTTTTCAATCAAAATAATTACAAGCAAACCTATAACACATTCTCTGGGCCAGCATCTCTGCTTTCTCAAACCTTACTACAGACAAACTACATCCAAGCAAAACCAAAGTCAGTGCAATGTGGGTACAAAATATATGAGTTAGAAACAGCTGCATTTCACCCTTTTTGCAGAAAAGAGCTACTACGACAGAGCAATCAATTTGAGAATTTATCTGAAGTCCATAATATGACACGCTATTAGCAAAAAGTGAAGCCGGCAAGTCATAGTAAGCATGAGCTTGATCCCTAGTACAAGAATACGCCACCAACTTATGCATCTTATGCCTTTTGACTACAGCATTCTGTGCATAATTATTTTGATCCAAGAATCTGTACCTGCAGGGGGAAATAAATGACTGACAGAAATATTTATTAGCCATATAATTTCGTTACAGTTCCTTTAACTATAGGATAAAGCTATCTGATTAATTAAGACAGAATAGAATTTTCTGTATTACGGTTCATTTAAACTATGCCGAGTTGCATTAAGGCACGATCTACATTCAGAGCCCCTAAAGAGAAGCAGAGAGATACAATCAGCAGAAATCACACTGAAAGTATTTAATGTAAATTGTATTACTCTGTTGCTGTTGCTGCATGCAATATTAATTATGTTTAGAAATAACTTTTACTAAACTGCTCACAGCCCATTAAATATTAATCATGAATATAGAAATTAACCTCTGGGGCTATCAATGGCTAATTAGCCAGGGCAGAGAACTGTGTGAATGTGGATATTCTGCTTTTGGTACCTGAGATAGCTCAATCAGAGCTGGCTTATGCGTGTCTGTGTAATGCTGCACCAAGGCACGCAGACATGCCTTAGCATGGCAGGCAGAAAAAGTGCTATTAGCCAAGGAACTGGTCTTGTTAGGTTCTCTTCCGCTGTATTTTATCTGGAGGCCTCTGAAAACAAAAATAGCTCTGAATTCTATCAGGACTAATTTTGATGTTATGTTTCTGTGTCTCAAATAATATTCAAAAGAAAATGCTGTAATGTTAGAGGCAAAACAGAAATCCTCTCCAGTTGGAGACCATTTTCCAACTGTGGTTCAGAATAAATTCTGGCAAAAAGTGTATTTTGCATCAGTTAGACTGCACCACACTACAGCTTTAAGTCCAAAACTCTCCTGATCTGAAGTTCAGTGTTTATACACATCACTTCTGTAGCTTGAAGAAGGAACATATATTTAAGACTTGAAATAAAAATGTGACTATAACACTTCAACAGCTGCTAAGACTTAACAGATTTGGAATGGAAAATAAGAATTGAATTGAAAATAAGTAAATGGGCTATCAAATGTAAAGCAGAAAGTTTTCATGCACTAGGATTCCTTGGGCACCTATCCAGTTCCTTGGAGATGATGCAAGCTAGAGTGAGCCTGGTCTGAAATGGTAGTGCTGCAATCCCAGTGCAGGGGACAGTGCCTGTGAAGGGTCCAGCTGGTTGCGTGAGCTCAGCCCACGCTTAACACGGACTGCTACCACTGAATTAACACCAAAATGCTGCAGCAGGAAGCAAAGGAGGGCATGGGTACCTTTTGCACAAGTATCTAGCAGATTCCCACGAAATGGGAGATCTGGGGTCTTGGGAATTTGCCTGAGGAGCAGAAACAAGTACTACATACACAAGAAGTTAGACAACCACGAAGAAAAGAATGGGACCAGAGGGGAATCCGCAAGAACCTGAGCCTTTACTCGAACAAGGGGTACGTTCTCTTGAGGCTGCATCCTGAGCTCTGCTCTCTCTTCCTAGCTGTCCATGCCTCCTGTGTAAGGAACGCTTGACTAAGCTTACAGCGGGAACCAGAACCCCAGATTCAGAACTATTGGAGGCATCTACTGTGCAGCACTGAGCTCATGCTCTTGTCTGTGCTCTCTTACGCTTTTCTATCAAGCGACTGACTTGTCCTACACTAGTGAGAAGAAGGATTTCATCATGCTACAGAAGATGACCACGTTTTTAAAAAATCATGGGCAGAGGAAGATGTCTCCTGGAGGCCCTCAGAACCACTCTTCACAGTTTGTCCCTCTCTTTATTGACCACGCTTAGCACCTGAGCACCTACGGCAGGAGCCCCAAACCATATGCCAACCCCTTTCTAAATACGTGTTGCAACAGCTGAGCAAAGCACTCAAGAGCCGGCATATGGCCCCTAAGCAATCTGCCCAAAATCACGTAAGAAGCCTTCAGTATAACCAAGAATAAAAGCAGGTACACATGAGCTTCTCCCTGTTTCTTTGGCTGCGTTTCCTTTCTTAAAATGCTTCATGTAAATTTATCCTGAGTTACAACAAAGAAAAAAAATTACATTACTGTGTTGGAATCCAGCCTGAAGAATAACTGGAATGTGGACAAAACCCACATGATTTTTAAAAAGAATAAATGCAATTCCTTTTAAAAGGCATTTATTTGTTGCTCTTTTACAAGGACAGAACATCACTAAGATCTCTCTTATTTCAGTGGTTAGCAAACTGCAAAACAGAGTAATTACACGAAGTCTATGGAAGCATGGAAAACCAATGTATTAAAAGCAGACCAGTTCTTATTTTGCATATCTGTTCTTAATCAGAGCAGTATACACTTCTGAATTATATCAAACTCAATATCAAAGTAATTATATAGGAAACTCATTACCTTCTTCCATTTATAAAGAGGCCTGTGATTATCAATATTGAGAAATTCTAACAACTATATTGTTTGCAGCAAAATTGCAAAGGAAAATCTTGCCCAGAAGGAGTATGGTTTTGTTTTTTCAAGTTCCTTGAAGCTCGAGAAGCAGGTTCGGTTAACATTTTCTGTATTTCAAAGCTGATGTTTCCAGCCCTCTGAGAAATCCTGACAGTGGGCCAAAAATTATGGAACAGAACTGTTTTATGGAGGGACCTACAAAGCAGCCAAAGTAGCAAAGCAAATATTATTCTGGCAACATCCGAGACTACCAGAGGAGCTTGGAAAAAAAAAACAGTATAATCAGGGTTCGACTCCTGCGTCCCACCATGTGGTTGAACATCCTCTTCCTCTTTGAGAAACCACCTGAGCATCCCCTCAGACTCCCAGATAGAGAGGACGGAAAACCGGGCTTTTAGTTTCTGGAGGTGGCAGTAATCACACACTGACTCATCTTCAGCCTACACAACAGCCAATTACCACAGCACGCCTGTGCTAGACAAGCACTGCAACAATGGGCCAAGGTCAACAGGATCCTCTCTGACCAGGTGCTGACAGCTTCTGCTCCACCAGTGATGTCAAGTTCCACATCTGCCAGAGTTTCCAGATGTTAACAGGGTTTCTAGATCACAGGAGCAGAGTGGCCCTTGCTGGCAGTGAGGCTTCCCCAGCCTGATAAACACCGTGTAAGAGATGAATATAGATTCAACAACTGTCCACACTACAAGCATCATGAAAGAAAATCAGAATTTAGGCTGCCTACAAAAATGATGAAAACCCAAAGGTTAAATTGCTGTATGAGTACTGAACTACTTCATCACATGGTTAGAGACAGTGCTCCTGTAAAGAAAAACGCTTGCTTCTGCTTTCCATGTCTTGTAGATAACACATCTTTTTTTAGACTATGCATTACGTCTTTATGTGTTGTCAATATATTCCAAACCTGGCTACCAGAAGGTGTAAGAAATCAAGTATTACTAAGCATATGAAAAACATCTGCATTTCTCTGTCTATGAGAAAAAACATTTAGCATGACAGTATCAGGAAATCTGAATTAAAATCAGAAGATAATTAAGAAGTGCACTACAAAAAAAATCACCTATATTAATCCTTCCAAACTTGACATGCAAAATGTTATTGACGAAAAAAGCTAAAAGCAAGCAATCTTTAGAATGAACATACAAATGCAAATAATATTTTTCCTTGGCTGGAGTGGAAACTCACCTCTTCGTATACTTTCTTGGCATTGCTGTTATCTCCTATCAAGAGGTAACCAACACCAAGGTCATTCTTGAATGAAGTATCACCGGGAAACAGCTGAACTAATTTCTGTAGCGTAACCAGGGAACCCCTCATGCGACCTAATTTAATTGAACAGGACTTAATTACAGCTCCAGATACGAGTGACAGTGGTGAGATGCTTACACAACACTTAAGAAAACAGAGACCAGAGCCAGGTGTTCCACTCCCACTAACAATCAAGAAGCAGAATTTGGAAAAAAATTAAACTCGTGCAGACAGGAGAACATTCAGCTGCGTGGCTGTCCCTGGGGTGCAGCGGCACCAGGAATATTCCGGTGATCACTGTGAAGGCCCATCGTGCGGTGCTGTGGTAGCCTCTAGTGGAGAGACTCCACAGTGTAGCAGTAACGACATTATTTAAGCTCTGGTTGCTCTTTCATACACAGATGTCAAAGTGTTCAACAAAACTAGTTAAACATACCAAAGTAAACAGAGTCTTGATTGATTAAGTAATTAAACTGTTAAGCAATAGTTCTACTATATTTCCATTATGAAATTAATCGTGCTCTACATACTTAAAATTGTGTTCCTCAACTTCCTAGATGAGGTCATGCTGAGGAACAGCAAGGTCAAAACAAGTCAGTATTAAAACCCAACCCATGGGAACAGAACTCTTTTCTCCAGCAACGCTGACTGTGCCTCATATTCTAATCAGCACTTTTTGTACATCACAGATTTGAGATCTAAACCTTCAGGTGTTACAGAACCCCAGGACAGTTTGAGCTGGAAGGGACCTTTAAAGGTCATCTAGTCCAGCCCCCTGCCAGAAGCAGGGACAGCTTTAGCTGGATCAGGTGGCCATGATCGGGGCGGGCTGTTACCCCCGAGTTCGATTCCAATCTTCTCTATGTTTACTGAAAATTTATTCTGAGTATGTTTACTCTGCGTAGGCCATTGATTTCCTCATGATTCCCCTCAGCTTCAGTAGAAAAAGAACATTTTCTTCTTTCTCTGTCAATAAAAATTTCTGACCACCTCCCATCATGGCTTCTCAGAGCACCTAGTGCACTGCTGCCTACAGGCACTGTGATCGTACAAGCAATTACATACACTGGCTCCCTAGAAAAATTTTAAAGACTTTTAAAATACTTTTCATAAGCATTTAAGAGATTAGCAACACAAGTTCATTGAAAATTCAATGGAATTGGCACTTTTAAGTCCTCAGTGATCTTTTGAACGGCTTGTTCGCACAACTTCCAGAATTTTTACACCACCCTCAAATCTTACCAAGAAACTGCTGCCTGTCTGCTTCTCGTTTCAAGCTCAGTTTTATCAGATCTGACGGGACATTTGGCAGACCAACCACCTCGTCGTAAGTGTTGATAGCTTTTTGCAGCATCTCATTACTCCTCATTTTCTCAGCTAAGTCATCTTCAGACTAGAAAGAACCACAAACCCATCATTAGAACACAAAATAATCCATTAGTCTTAAAAATAACTTTGTTTTCTTAAAAGGCAAACTATGCAATTGTTAGACTATGGGAATAATTTCAGAATTATCTTTAATCCATATAATTTTGGCACAACAACCAAAAATATATTTGGTTGCGCTTTATAGTAAGGCAGATTAGAAATACTGTTAATTCTTGTTTCCTGCAAGCTGTTGACCAAAATTTGCACCTAAACCATACATTAACACAGATTTTTGGTTAATATTTGTAGAAGTCATAATTTCTGCTCTCGAAAATAAACGAAGCAATGTGTTTTAATAATATGGAAGAAATGTAAATTGTTGCCTACAGGTTATTTGTATACGAAGCCACACTGGCAGCAACACAGAGATCAAACCACACCAACAAACCTTTCTTTCATATATTCTGACACAAGTTTATTTACACTCTTCCTTAGAAAACTAATTAGGAATTGTCTTTACTCTTGTGTACATGGACAGAGTATCTACCCCATAACTCTTCCAGAACTTAAACTTGTGTGTCCTTTGGACTGCTCCTGCACTTGACAAACGAGATCTCTACTGTGAAATTACAGCTTCGGAGACCTAATGGAAGCTACGACTGGTTTCACCCATGGTATGGCATTTTCCTCATTTGTTTCCACAGCTGAAAAAAATAAGACTCTTAACTGCTGAATTTTTAAAGCATTACTTTGAATTGTTTATACAAATGCATGCATTTCCATGTGTTTAAGGTATTCTGCCCCAATACTTCCACTTTCATTGGCTTATGCCCTTTCCCAAGTCCATTCGCCGAGGAAGGCGCAGGGGCCCCGCAAGCGCTGCAGGTGCTGCAGCTCTCGGTGCTCTGGCGCGAGTCCCCGCGGTGTCAGTCATGCCCGTTGGACGGGACAGCTTCGGCTGCGTGAGCTGCCCAGGCTGCCGGCAGCATCGGGAACCTTACTGCGCTTCCATCCTTTCCTTTGTTTCCTTGAGCTACTTTGAAATTGAGTGCGGGGAATACCAACGACATGGTAACTCCGCCAAACACTCCACCAGCCGGTTTCCAGGGAGAACCTCAGAGACCAGTTTCAAGCAATAATTTATTTTTCTGACGTACATTCACTAGGAAATTTCCCTTTCATTTTTTGAGGGAATTGCAGGGCGAAGAATAGTAAAAGATACATAAGGAAGAGGCAAAAATTGTCAACATAAAATCTGCGTAAATTCACCAGTATCGACGCTATAAAACATATAGGGAGGTTTAAGACCTCTTTACTGTTCTTTTCAGCCTTAAAGACGTTGATGATTTCTGTAGAATATCTTTCATCTGGCCTAAGTGGAGCTCCAGATATCAAATCAGGAACTGCTGAAATTTCTGAAAAACATTGTAATTACGAAATGTTTTGCAGAATTTGGGGGAAAACAGTTGCCTTTTAAACCCAATAATGATCCAGAAAAATGAATTCTCACGTATTAGAAATGTGCCACACTAGCACGCAATGTCGGTTCCCAGCTCACAGGAACAGAGAAGTACCCTCTCCAAACCCTCTCCTCTGTTTGGGAGCAAAAAGCAGTTTCAGCCCCGAGCTGACCGATGTGTTGATCTACCAGCTGCAGCAACCAGCAGGTAACAGCTCAGTTCTGCCTGTTGCTCCTGCACCGGGACGGCGGTTGGGATTCACCTCTTACCATTCCCCTGACAGTTTTCATGAGATCTACGGGATGTATCTTTTTTTTGGTGTTATTTCCAATACTTCCTACTAGACTGAAGTCACGCAAAAGCTCCCAAAGTAATTGGGGAAGGACAGAGAACTGAAACACAGATCACACAACTCTTTTTCCCGAGGAAACATCCATAAAATTATAAATTAAGTCTGACTGGCGTTTAGCACTCTATTGTTAAAAAAGAGGGGGTTTATCTTTTTTAACATTTATGGGGTTTTTTCAGTACCTGTGCTTTCCCATATCTTGCTCGAGGACTCTGTGGATACTGATTCACCAACGCTTCAAAGGCCCTTAGAGCTTCTTCAACTTTTCCCTGGAAAATATCAGGAAGCAGACTGGTTAAAGGTGAGCAAACGCACACAAACAGACACACACACTTATGACTTTAAAAAACTGAAGATAAATTATCCTGCAAAAACGAAACTTAAAGGACAAACACGCACTGAATATTTAATTTAAAAAAGTTCATTTCACAGAAAGTAATCTAAAAGTCATTCTCCCTTTTTCTAAGCTAATTTTTATTTGATTTATTCTTGTCCACTGTCTACAGTCCCAAGTGAAACATTCAAAACTTACTTTTTTACGTAGTTTTTCTGCAGCATCTAGTTCAGCTTTAATGGTCTTATCAAATTTGTTCAAGAGCTTTGGCTTCTTCTTTTTAGCTAGAAAAGATTTAAAAAACACACCGTTTATTACTTCTTTTGTATTTCACAGCTATTGTTTGGAGTAACCTTTAGCGACTAGTACCGTGCTGGTGAAGTGCGTGGTTTCCAAATAAGGCAGTTTCAAAATACACTGAAAAGAAATTGATATCTTATACAATCACAAACTCCTGTATGAAAAAGCAATTTTCAGTCACTTAAACTGCATAACTTTGCAGTCAAGCTTTTGACAAAGCATTTTTCATCTCATATAGTCAAGGATTTTTTTCCAAATGGTTCAAATGACAGTGAAGAACAACGAGAACTCTTATTTTTCTACATTTATATGGTATTATGAAAAATACAATCACCTGGTCGTGTCAGGGACTTCTAAAGTTGTGCCTATATATGTCTACTTCTTTGTCCAAAGCAACTAAAAGAGCTGATAGAAATCACAGCTACTCGGGGTAGGAGGGGCTCGAAAAGTCACCCAAAAAAAACAGGTTCAACGCCGAAACATCTGACCACAACGTCTTTACGTGATCACACTTCCACAGCCTAGCAAGGTAGCACACACTAGCAGGGCAGCAGCAGTACGTAGCAGAACAGCTGGGTTTTGTTTGGTGGTTGTTTTTTTTCCTAAAAATATGCCAGCTCAGTTTTTAAAGAAATCGTTGCTATTTCTAAGGCCTGGCTTGCTCCACAGTAGGTGTGGATGAACCCAGAAGCATCAGCCCAAGGAGCCAACAAAAGCAAGCGTCCCTGAGGACTTTCCAGGTTGGTTGAGCTCGCAGTCGCGACGTGAAACGGCTGCTTGTGGTTAGCAGGAAAATCGAGGCACGTCAGCTCCTCTGGGTACACGATCCGGTGAGCCTCCACTAGACATCACCACTAACACTTGGTTTGCTCCTGTTCTCTACGTAGGAGGCTGTACATACCAGAAATGCTGTAGACCACAACTAAAATGCCAATTCTCAGTTCTCACGGCATGAATGAAAACCTGAGACCAGCCAGTTACACAGAAACTGGACTCGGTCAGAGAAGACAGCTGTTTGTCAGCTTTCTGACCTTCAGCACGCACGGAAAGACATACACTCACTTGGTCCTTCGCAAACTCGTCAAGCATGGCAAGAGTGAGGCTCCTTCGAGGCAAAGGCAAGAAGCTTTCCCACCCACCAGGAAATCTTACTGCCCATGGGATGCTGCTTCCACAATTCCTTTGAGTTTACAAGGCGAAGAGACAGAAATGGCTCAGAAGAGAAAGTAAATGTAAATGTGACAAGTCTGCGGCACAGAGACATCTTTCCCCTTGTATCTGACTTAGTGATGTGTTGGAAGAACCTTTTTGCCATCCCTCATTACAAAAAAGTGTTATCTTCCCATTTTCAGTATAATTATGTATCAGCTCCAGACCAGCAGGAGATCAATATGAAAAGCTGGAAAGGAGCTGTTCACATAAATATTACTCAGCTGCTAGGCGCCAATATAGCACAGCAAACATTCTATAACGAGCCATCATTTCCATCTCCCATTCTACTCCTGTGTTTAAGGATTCACCAGGGAGCTTTCAGTGGAACCATCAAGCATTCCTCTGTATTAACCAGCTAGCCTGCTATCTCCCTGCAGGGGTATTTTAATAAATTATCCGCTGCCTCCTTCTAGTGTAATAATCTTTTAGCAGATGTGACCCAATATATTAAATTCAGTGTTACAAAGAAGTTAACTTAGCTGGTTTCAGAGGAAAAAACATGTCATTTTTCTTCAATGACTTCCAGATTTCACCACGTAGCTGAAGTAATGCACGATCACACACCTGCTAGAGTGATTTGTAGTCCAAACCTGGCTAAGCATTAGAACAGTAATAATTCTTTTATATATCATCCTATAGTCTTGTAAGAATAATACTGTGGATTTTCAGTAATGGCCTTGGATGTAAGGATAGACTTTCTATCTATGAGTGCTGTCATAGGATTGCTGAAGACTCCCTCAGAGGAAAGAGTTTCAAAGCAGCAAGCCTAGGAAGAAGTCTTACAAGAAACTCTGTGCTAGTTCTTTCTGTTGGACAATAAACAATGGCCAGTGATGACAACCAAACTGTATCTCCCTTCTGTATTAAGATATAGAAGGGGAAAAAAAAAAAGAAGGAAAATATTTTGGAAGTGGTAATGTATGAAATGTGCAGTAAACTTAACAGCCTGCAATGTCATCCAATGAAAGACGATGAAACAGCTACTTTATATACCTATTTTGGCATATGAAAACTAAAATACCAGCCATATTTTGTGGTTCTACACTGAAAGGCACCTTGTGATCACCAAGAGCAGTGACAGTCTTTTTCTACAAAGGACAGAGAAATACTTTCCAAAAACAACGAATGCACTGCTCGATACTCTTCAGACCACAACAGCATCGCACGAAAAACAAGGAAAAGCAACCAAATGATTAAAGGTGATTGAATCACTTACTCTTGAAGAATGGTTTAAAAATGTTTTGTCTTTAATTGTTGAATGGCAGGAGGGGCAACATTTACATCAGAATAAGCAACAACAAAGAGGAAAAAGCTAGCAGTAGAGTCTGCCACCCGAAGAGGGGTAGGTACCACTCTGTAAAAACTAGCTACAGAGATGAAAAGAATAAATTATTTTCTATATCACCATAGTCAGGACAAAGAATAAAAGGCTTTAAATCGCTACAGCAGAAAGTTTGGCTTGAACATCTGGAAGTGGTCTCTGAGCAAGCACAGTTGAACAGATTGCTGAGGGTACTTGTGGAATTCTAATTCCTGGAAATTGTAAGAACAAGTTGTACAAGCATCTGCCAGGAACTATGCACACGGCTGATAAGACCTCTGGTCAACAAAATAGACAAAGTAAGATTCAGGGTCCCATCTAGTCTTATTTTCTACAATTTCTGTAATATACTGCTATATGTCAATGCGCTTTAGACTATAATTAAGGAGGGAACTTCCATCCTCTCACCATCACGGTGATGGAGATTCCTCCTAGCCCTATGCCAGCAGCAATACTGGAGCTCAAAAATAAACTTATCAGTCACAGGTTTTCTGATCTAACAATCATGCTCTCATGTCCTGCAGTTTCTACTCAGCCATTAACCTTCTGTTCATCTCCTTTCTCTTTCCTTCTCCTGTCATCCTCTTCTCCAGCCTTTCCCCTTCTCCACCTTGATGCCCCACCACATTTACTCCCCTCTCATTTCTACTCTTGCTCACAATCTGTTCCTCGGTCCAGCCCTCTCTTTATCTCAATTCATTCTTAGATCTGTCTTCTTCCACGCACCTCTGGCTCATGCCCTTCTTCAAGGGTCTTCTCCCTGACACGCCCTTGCCCCAAATCCCTATTACAGACCATCAGCTCCATGCTGCTCTCCATCTCCGCTGTGTCCTTCAGAAAACGATGAGGGCCATAAGCAGGCAGGAGAGCAACTCCAGGAAAGACAATGCGAGTGACAAAGCCCCTCTGCTGTCCCACAGTTACACGTGCCCCGCACCGAACGGTGCGAACAGAGCACAAGTAGCACAAGTATCCCTTGCGAGAGACACCTCACCTACTTCTGCAAGTGATGCTGCATTGTGCTAATTACAGCAAATTACCACGGCTTGAGCAAGGAGCAATACCACCATGTGGCTCAGCAGCAGCACCTGATGGCACAGCTCCCTGCTCTCTAGCTAAAAGTTCATTCACTTGGTCACCAATTGAGAATGCCACAGTCCATGGGGCCTAAAAAGTGAGCTCAGCACGAAGCAAACGCCTACTAGGCAGTGAGATGAAGGCTCCACTGATTGTAAGGACAACGGCTGGTTATGATGCAGGTTGGACACCAGCACATGTCTTGGCCTGGAACTGAGTCCCCTCCAGGCTGCTCTCCTCCCTTGCTGACACGACTGTTGGGTGCTAACTCTTGCTCCCACAGGCTGTTTGGAAGCCAGGAGGGTGAACACCGCTCAGGAACGGTTCATTCCTCACTTTCAGGACCTGATCTCACTGAAGGTTTCAGAGCTGCAAAGGCATCATGTCTGAGGAAATCCTGCTTGGGTCTAAGGATCTAGACCACAACATGCCACCTGCATTGAGACAAGTGGAGATACAGAGCGAACGGGGACTGGGCAGGGGACAGAAAATGAAATGCAGTGGCCAAACTCAAACATCTCCCCACTGATTATTAGCCAGCGAGTGCCTGTGTGAACTAGTATTTTGTAGCCGTTAATAGTACAGGCTCCTGCAGAGAAAAAAACATGCACCAAGTTTGCAATAAAAGCTTTTTCTTTTTTTTCTTTTTTTTCTTTTTTTTTTTCATTTAAACATTGGGAAAAACCAAAGAAATCAGTGCAAAGTACATCTCGTGAAGCTACTGAGTCTTTTCCTTGAAACTTTCCAAAATTTTTTGAATTGAAAACTACACTGGAACAATCCTGCTGCACTGACTGTGTGCTGCGCTTACCACTAGCAGGGAAGTTTTAAATACAGTTTTAAATAAAAGCTGTAATGATACAGTTGTAGAGGTTGTAACTAGATAATGATGCCTCTTATTCCTCTCTCATACTGACAAAACAGAGTGGGGGTGCCATCTCTAAACCTAATCTGAAACAAAAACCTCCTCCAGTGACGCAGCCACACAGTCACTCGCAGCAAAGGCTCCTCCTGCCAGTTCTCCATCTTAACCCACCAAAATCTAAGGAAGCAATTTCCAGGGAAGCCACAGGCTCTGTTTTCTAAACATCTTCCTATCCTTGCTGTGACACAAAACCAGTAACAGCGTGCTTGGCAACCTATGGTGAGTGCCTTAAAAGACCATGGTAAGTGGATACTAACGATCACAGTCTGTGGAAGCTTTCCAATGAATTTTGTGAGCTTCTGTTTCACTAATTCCCCCCGCCCCCTCCCTCAAACACTCTGACCTTCCCTGTCCAAGTTTCAAAGTTTCAGTTATGGGCTGAAAAACATACATATATACTAGCAGACCCACTACTTTTCCCTGGAATTCAAAATTTGCTCAAGTAATTGTCCTCCCTCCTCGTACTAGACCTGTCCCATTACCCAAATTAGTTTCTGAAATTGTGCTGCCTCCCAGTGGGCGCTTGAACGAGAATTTGATGATGATGAAAATCTCCTGCCATTGTCCTGTTGTTTGGGAAGCTCATTAGGCGAGATAGATAGCGCAAGCGATCTGCTTGGTTTATGGGCTTCTGTAAATGATAACTCAGAAGGCATAAAACCAAGTAACTGCAGCTAGACAATTTAAGGCCAGCAGCACTACAATAATTAAAAGATCTTTCTAAACTGTACTGGTAGAACAGGCAAAACCTCTATAATCAACTTATCTGAGGAAGTAATCGGACAGTAAGAACTGAGGCATTTCAGGAACTAATAAAGCTGTGGAATCTAATGATGGTAATAAATCTTCAGCTGCAGTTATTCCAGAATAATTTCCCTTGCAGTAAAAAGTATTCTACAGGGGTTTCTGTCTGAAATTACTGTTGGTTGGTTAGATGTTGATTGTAAGAAACAATTGCAGAATGGTAATTTTATTTCTGGCATGTACTTCCATCATTCACCTCTTCTCCCTTTCATCATGAAGTCTTTTGGCTTCGTTCAAAGGCTAGAATCGAGCAACCCTTTGACAAGACCAGAAATAAATTTCTTCATTGACTTTCTGTACAAAAATACACACTGATACTCTAATATCCGATGCATTTAGTTCAGCATGGTGTTATGCAGCAGTTTTGGACTTTTGAGAACTACATTCTATGAAGTACGTCGGTCATTCTGCCCACAGCTCACATTTAGTGCAGGCTACAATCAAAAATGTAAGTAAATCAACAGGTTGTATGTATACCCTTAAAAGCAGAGCTTGCAAGGGCGGAACTCAGCCCACTTGACTGGAGGTGATGACGCTGGAGGTGAGCCAAGCTCTTTCTACAGCCAGTGCAGCTCTGGTTAAGGTTCTCAACAGAGCTTAGGGGAAAACACATCTCAACCTACAGCAAAAACCTACATCACTTTACCTCCTCAAGTCCGCAAGCCCAGCGTAGTAATGGATTTCCTGCCCAGTCTGTCCTGTTATGAAGGAAATGTGGATGCCATTGCCTTCCTCTCCAAGTAAACTGGCCAGTGGTATATTTACGTGTCAAATGTAACGCTTATGTTTGGAGATCTTATTCTCTACAGCTACCTAAAAGGAAGTTGTAGTGAGGCCGGTGATGGTCTCTTCTCCCGAGTAACTAACTGGACAAGAGCTAATGGCCTCAAGCTGTGCCAAGGGAGATTTAGATTGGGTATTAGAAGAAGTTTCTTTACTGAAAGAGTGGTCAGACATTGGACCAGGCTGCCCAGGACAGTAGTGGAGTCACCACCCCAGAGGTGTTCAGAAGACGTACAGATGTGGTGCTTAAGGACACGGTTTAGTGGTGGGCTTGGTGGTGTTAGGATAATGGTTGGGCTTGATGATCTTAAGGATCTTTTCCAACCAAAATGATTCTGCGATCCTATGACAGGTTTAACGCAGGTGCAGGCTGGAGGTGCAGGGACAGGCTCAGGGCAGGCCGAAACCTTGATCCCGGCGACGGGGGCTCATGGTGATGGGGCATGCTGGGGAGAACAGGCTCGCTGTGCTCTTGGCAGAACCTCCCCTCTTCCCCACCAAACCTGCCCCTGCGTGTTCCTGCCTAACCTAAGCCAGACAGAAACCCCGACCGGGTAAAGATGGAGTGAGCAAGGACGGAGTTCGGTGCCACCTGTCCCCCCCCCCCGGCTTAGCACAGCGGGCAGGGCTGAACCCCGCTTTCGGGGCAGGGCTGAACCTGCCGCTCTCACCCAGGGCTGCCGGAGAAGCCCAGCAAAGCTATGACCTCCGGAGTCGTGCCCCAGGAGCACAACACTGAGCATTTCACCCTGAAAGAGCCAGAGATTTCCCAGCAACCTGTGGCCACATCACAGGGAACACACCAACGTCCGCTTTGGGAACGGCTGGGCATTTACCTGCCAAAGCAGATGGTGACTCAACGCCAGCATATCTACACACGACGTACAGGAGCTAAGCTTCACTACTGTCTAATCTGATTTAAACCCCTCCTCCCAGAAAGCATGCTTTTGAATTTCAGAAGAGCAGAATGTTACTTTCAGACTTACCTTTTTCTGTTTTGTCTTGTTCAGTTGCTTTTTCACTTTTCCCTAGAATATTAAAAATATAATTTCATTGGAATACATTTATGTTAACAGTTCACGATAAGAAAGAGACAGAAGAAAATTACAGCTTATACCCAAAATATGACTGGACCAACAGGAATTTTTTTTCTTTCATTTTTATTTTTTAAGTAACTATAGATTACTGCCTGAACTATATACTTACATAAAATGTCTGCAGATGCTTCAAATATTACCTTGTTGCTTCTGTCACAAACTAGTTCATAAACTTCCCCCTTTAGGTATTTGGTAGATTTTGGTGACACACATTTACAACACAAGCTATTTTGTAAGAAAAAAAAACTGTTCACTAATCAAAAGCTCCTGAGAACACTAGCTTAGTATCTAGATGTGATTAAAATGTTAAAAAAGCCATGAAAACCAAGTGGGAACCTAGGTCTCATTTTCAGAAGTGACTCAGGCACTTGAAAGCCCTTGTCTTACCACAACTTTTGAACTAATCTAACCCAGGTGCTTTGGGAACACCTGGATGCACAGGCTGAACATCTGGACACGCAGGTGAACGTCAGCCGAGCACAAGGCAGCCCGTAGGGAAGCCAGACGACACCCATGAGACAGCAGGGATGCACACGAGGCGGGGATGGCATGCACCGACACAGGCTGGCCTCTCCTCTTTTTCTCCTCTCCAAACACTTTTTGATCCTGCCCTACTCCATACCAGTTAAAGCACCTTGCCTCACGACTCTAACGTTATCATCTTGTTTCCAGTTTCATCCCAATAAGCTTCCAATATTCCTCCCAATAAACTCAGATGACACTAAAGAGAGAGGTCAGTTGGCTTTTGAGTTAGTTATTCTCCTCTCTAACAGACACCCTTTAATTTTGATGTATTCTTCTATACAGAAAAAACATTTGCTTTAATTTCCGAGTCCGTTAAAATACACCTTGTCAGAATACTCCATCTTCGCAGTTTTTTAAACCGACTGCTCAGAAGCATTATACTGTGAATAAAATATGCCATGTAAAAATGCTGGAAAACATTTCTTTTTTTTTGTGGAGAAAGTGGGTTTGCGCACACATGAAATCAAACTATTTCACATTCTAATTTCCCCCTTTACTACTGACAACTGCTACTACTGAACGTGCAGACAGTACAACTCTGATTTTTATATTCAGCACATGGCAGAATGAGCATTAGCTTGATTAAGACATGGTAAATTAAATAAATATGGTCACATTGAAAGTCATTCACCTCTTCAATTATATCATAAAATCCAGACTGTCAATTAATTGAAATAAATGACAAAGAGATCTATAGAGTCAGTTACACACCATGGGACAACCTGGAGCAGGAATATCATCACTGTAACAGCACATCCATGAAAGAGTTCTTTGTTCAGTACTTGCTAAAACACTAGCTTTTTCAGTTTTATCTTTTTGTGCATATCACACCATAAATAAAACGGTCCTGTCCACCTCTGTGTCATCAGAAATACTGTACTTTAAAGAGAGCGGTAACACAGCTCCAGATGAGACATGATATAAACTCATATTTCTATTATTTTGACAACTCAAAGCACATGAACAACTCATGACAGGACAGTAAGCCTGGCACAGCATCCTACTGAGCCATCCATCTTCCCCATTTCTTTTCCCTTATCAGCACTGCTGATACTCTCCCCTGACCTCTTCTCTCCAACTCCCTCTAGGTCACTCACCGACCCTCTTCCACCCATCTTGGTCATTCATGTTATTTCTGCAACTTCTTTCCCATCAGAGGAGGAACAAGGTACGAGCTCATTGCTCGAAAACCTGCTCCCACCTCCCAGTTCTTGCCCAGCTGCTCTTCTTCATTTCTTTCTCACTGAGGCTCAGGCAATATCTAACCTACAGTCCTCTGTGCCCATTCATGCGCTAGGATCAATTCTCCAAATTCTCTCTCAGACATTTTCAACCTGTATTCTGCTAAGTTAGCTGCCCTTGCTTTCACCAAAGCCTCCCCGATGATCTTTAAACACTCCAGCTTCTCCTTCTGGGTAGCTGCTTTTGAAATTCATCACAACTTGACCTCGTTAACTCCGAGGATCTTGTTTCTCTCACCAGACTTCACTAAGGATCCGCTTCAGCATCACATTCAGCACACACCGCCTTCTTCCCTCTGCCCTGATCCCTGCCTTACTTCGATGGTGCAAACGGGTTTAATTCTGCTATTTCTGACAAAGGTTTACAAACATGCACTCTCAAAGACAGGGGTAGCTCAGGAAATCTTGAGAGATTTTTTGTCATCAACTCACACCACTTGTCCTCTCCTGTTTAAGCACTTTTTGATCCTGCCCTACCCTGTAACATTTACAGCGTCTTCCCTCACAATTCTAAGATTACGTGAAAGATTTTTCTTCACTCTCCAAACCACTCTCACCCTTTACTTAACTTCTCTGTTTCCAGCAAACAGATCTAGATCAAAATGACAGACAAAACTGTTTTAACCAATCTCTACAGGGCAGGGCTGTTACCACTGTGTAACGTGTGCACCAGGTATTCCCAGGAAGGTTTCTACTATAAAGAATACATTTATTTTCCATATTACAACACACCTAAATATCAGTAGAGTACGTATAGCAACAACCCACCACAACTAAAAATGTATTTCAGACCTTGCAGATTTTACATGAATCCCAATCAACACTGGAAATGTACAATTCAATTCATTATTTACATATACATAATTTTTGAAACACGTAAAATTACACAATGATTTTCAGGAAAAACATGACATTTTTCAGTATCTTTCCTATATCCAAATCTTACCCATTTTCTTTACTTCTTAGAAAGAACAGTGTCATGACATGATAGCTTTTCAATTACTGAGAATGTGAAAAAAGTCACTTAAAATTGTAGTAAATTTTCAATATTAAAATAAAACTTTAGTATCCTATTCTTAATTAAATTTTCCTTTCCTTATTGGTATTTCTTCCTGTGATTTCCAAAAAAGCAACTGAACCCAAGATTTCATAGATTCACTAAGATACAGCAAGAAGCAATGTGAAAATGTAGAGAAAGACGACTTTTTCTTAAACTACTGTTCTATATTCAGCAATATTTCATCACAAAATCATGGCGGTTTTTGAAAACCAAAGAGGTCAAGAAAGACTTTGGTTTTCAAAGAGAGAACTGCACAGCCCCAACACCCTGGTGAGATTTCCGATCTAAACTACGGACCATAACCTTGAATACTTCTCTATGCAAGGCAGCCATCATACCTTCCACACACATCCGCACTGTTAAAGCGTGGTATCTCGCCCCTTTTAAGGCGCAAATAGAAATTATGTACCATGGGCTAAACTGAGACCAAACTGGTTGCAGGAGAGCTAACACTCCAAAAGGAGAAACACTGCACAACAGACCTTACAGTAATGCCCTGTAATGTTTCCTTCACATAACACTGTCCAGAAACAAAAATTACCTCTACTTGCTACATATCTTCCTCCTTGTAAACAATATTTTCAAACACATTTTTAAACATTCAGAATTGTTACTTTGAAAAATAATAATATTAATTAGTGGCTGAGGCAAATATTTATCCCCACAGTTAACATCTACCACATTTTGGAAAAAATAATGACACTACAAAGACAAAGATATTCTTCTGTGTTTTATTGCAGCCAAACATTAAAACAGATTAAGTATACATTTTTTTTAATAGTCCGCTTGACCTTGCTCAGCTTGGCATATTTTTGTAAACATGAAGCACGTAAAATCACATACCCAGTTACAAAATACTTAAAATTTGATCACAGCATACTATACTCTCACAGTCCCGTAATTCTACAAGTAGGCTGCCACTGTTACAGAACAAGTCCTCCATTCACCATCCTAAAATTATTCCCAAGCTTCCTCACAAAATATGGCTTTGTAAAAATTATTGCTCTGCAATTCACAATCACAGGTAATTTTCCTAGAATACCCCATCCCAAACCAGATCACAGTCTAAGAGTATTATTGCTTTCCCGAAAAGTCTGAAGGAATCGCTTCGGGACATCTGTGTGCTGCCCAGGTAGACTCTCACTGGAGTCTTCCCGCCAGCCCACACAGCCACAGGCAAGCCCGCACGATGCCCCTCGTGCTACAAACGTAAGCAACTACGAACCTGCCTCCAGCACAGTGTTACAGAAACTTCAATCTCCCTGTCAACCCACAGGCAACCACTGAGGGTTACCAAATTGAGTTTTCTTCTTAAAAATTTATCTCATTGTATTTCTTCTAAGCTCCCGTATCAGGCCTGGCAATTTCCTAAAATCACAGCAATTATTCCTGAGCCAAAAAAGGAACACATGCAAAATGCCAAAGAATAAAGTATGTCTTCGTAATTGTGGAACAGCAGCACAGAATAGGTAAAAAGTACATCTGTCATATTACAGTTCTAAACCACCCCAAGTCTGAATATCAGATGTACCATTTACAAGAGCATTTACAATTGCAGGTCTTAAATTTTGATATCCAATTTTTGTAAGGTTGAATTTCCAAAGCTTTTTTAATTTTTAAATTAAATTTATAAGTCGGGTATTTACACAAATTTGACTTCTTAAATACTTCACTGAATTTACTAAATCCAGCTTTGAGATCATTCTACTGGTAGGCAAACCAGAAGAATTTTACTGAACTCAACCAGATTCCAGCCACTCAGTTTTGTTGCAATCTAAGCTGACTCCCTGACAGGCTACGATGTAGTTTCTAGACATTTTTGTTTTAAAAATCAAATGTGCATAAATAAAAAGTTCTAATTCACACATAAAGGGTTTCTGAAAAAAGTAATTCAGTAACCTGCCTTCTCCCAGTATGAATTACACAAACACATTTTGTATCTTGTTAAGACTATTTTAAAAATCACCTGAAAATCATGTAGTGTAACTGGTGACATAACATCAGTGCAAAAAGATCCAAGTCAAACTCCGCAGCACAGTGTGCGCCAGATTAGTTTCCGCTGAACGCAGTTAGGCTGTATGCTATACCAGCAGTTAT